ATTTCCTGGGATGGTAGGCATAGCTGCTACTCAGCCTTATCTAACACATTAATATTGATTTTAAATTTTTTTACAATATTAGTTAAATATTGATAAGTAAGCAAGCTAACATTTAACTTTCCTGAAATAATAAAAGAGATGTTGTTTCTTTCAACAATGTATGCCTTGTTATATACAAATTAAAATAAAGAAATGATGTTTACCTACTGGGGAAACTCCCCCCAAAAAAAGAACCCCATACATAAAATAAAAAATTTTAAAATTTCAAAAAATATAAAAATATACGTGAAAATTGTTTAAATATGCAACACATGATTTACTTCGTTATTTTTAATTTACTAACTACAATTGATCATTATTAAAGTTGTTTATAGAAGTAAAAAAGAGTGTTGTAGGTAAAAAGTGTGGATTCCGCTCATGTAAGGTTAAAAATTGTTAATTTAAACAATTTCAAAAATTACATTCTAGTATTAAAAAGTAAAAGAATTAATAATGTTGACTTAAATTATATTTATTATTATGAAGTTATTTTTATAAGCTGCCTGCAGTGACTGCAGTGAGTACTGTACGTGCAATGACGATCATATTGTCGAATTGTTACACTTCAATTGTGGCAAAAAGTTCTGGCAAACATCCTTTACACATTCACGCAAATATTTTTTTTTGACTGTTCCGCAATAAGGCAGGTATCTAGGAGATTTCAACTTCCACGTTGATGATAAAAAGTATCATCCTTGTACTTTGAATGCGCATGACTTTTTCGGTCAAGCATATTGTGAAGAAACTTAGTTGGGCAAATGTATCTGAGTGGAAATTGAAGACATGACGCGATATCACAAGTGACATCGGGGTTTCAATAAGCTAACGACAACATATTTCTTTTATTGTATCCAGGTAAACGATCTCTGATATTTGGCATCAAAAAGTTGATGATATCCCAAAGTACAAAAAAATTTTCCAATTTTATTTACAAGAAAAAAAAAACAATGTGATGAGCGAATAGTATATACTGTATACACATATGTACTCGTTTAAAGTTTGCATATTATATATCCCTTGATTTTATTTATTTAAATCGAAAGCTATATACTTGCGTTGAATGGGGGTGATGGTAATGGGATTTTTTTTTTCTTTTTTTTTTTTTAGTTCCATCTTTTGTACGTATATACTTTTGAGAGAATAGTCCTTTCTTTGTTTTGTGTTATCAAATCCAAATCATAGCGAAAAATAAAGTTCTTTAAGATTAAAAGCGAGATGTTTCTTGTGTAAAATAAAGAAAAATTTACATATAATAAATAAAGAGAGCACCGGGTATCAAAACATCTCCATCTTAATAAAAGTGTTGTGAATGCAGAAATGACGTCCATTAACAAGAATCGCAAACTCTTATATTTGTATGACGGCCCGCCGGAATACTGAGAAATGTTGGTGAAATGATTCGTATCCACCACCACCACCACCACTACTACTACCACCACCACTATATTACTAAGACTACACCTGAGCCAGCATTCACTGAAAAAAAGTGTAATTCTATAGATATGCAAGATTGATTGCGAGAAGCATCCGTATGCAAAAGAGCCGGCCTGACGTGCGATTGAGGAGATGAATTGTGTTAACGGGTGGTGTGTTGGATAAGGGTGAAATCGGAAATGATGAACGGGAAAAGGAAAAAGAACAAAAAGGAAGGGCAGAAAGATGAAGAAACAATGGGTCTACAAAGTCCAACGAAAAATTGTCTAGCTTAACTCTCAAGGAATTCAGCGTTGACGGTGACGGAGAGGGCAAAAAGGGAATATATAAGATTTCCAAAGTATTCAGTTGATGTTTTCTATACAAAGACGAGCAAGCCAACCCACATTTCTCCTAAATCTTTCCAAGGCAGTGATATTTTCGACCATAAATATATGTACATATGTATCATCCAAACATATAAGAGTTAGTATCCTCCGCTCATTGAAGCAGTTTGAGCCTGACGAACCGCAATGGACGTAGCGGACGTTTGACCAACTGCGATGGAACCATTAAGCGAAGGAGTGATGCCCATTGACGTGGGTGAATTCTGTTGCATTGTAATCGAACCGTTCGAAGATGAGTTGACACCCATAGAACCGGTGTATACAGAAATTTGTGAGGGGTTTTGTTGATTTTCATGCTGATCCTGTTCATTCGCCCGTTGTTTCTTACCCACTCGACGACTAGGCGTTTGACCGTTTTCATAGCGTTGACGCTTTTTTATCACATCCGTTTTCATTGACAACGGACGTCTCTCGTGGTGCAATTTGAAACTGAGACGACAAAAGAAGGTGCACGGATTAACAAGTGAACTACAGATGAACAACCGATTACGAAAGTGCAAAGACTTACTAAAGGCCGCAAGCATTACAAAGCGTTTGTCCTTCTTCATCACGTCTCCACAAGGGAGTATTAACTGTTTTGCAATTTGAGCAAACAGGTTGAGTAGCTTCATCGTCTCGTGCATCCTTGCGCACGATATGCGGTTTCATGGTCTTTGGACGCGGCATTTTGTGTAACTTTAGGCTAAATAGATAAAGATTTATTAATTAGAAATTCGATCGGTCCCAAGCGAATGGATCAAATAATAATAAAGAATCGAACACATACTATAAACCGCATGCGTTGCACAAGAGCTCATCGTTGGCCGAACGTCTCCAAAGAGGTGTGGAGGTGATGCCACAATTGAAACATTGTTGTTCGCCGCTTGAATGAGCCTTCTTGGGCCTGTTTTCGGATGTCGAAGGCGGGGATTGTCGGACGGTGACCGAAGAGGATTCCATTGACGAAGATGCGGGCGGGGAGGACTGGGGAACATTAGGTTTTGATGAGCTCTGTCCGATGGATGCTGAATTACCAGTGTTTGTTTGGTCTGCCGAAGAATATTGGTTCATATATAAAATATTTGAGGAACTCGTGACATTACTTAATACGCTGTTACTCGGCAATCCACTAACTGGAGTGTTAAGTGGGGTATTATTTATTGATAATGTTAAATTAGTGTTAAGTGGTGTTGGATTAACGGGTGAATTTTCAGCTGTTCTAGGAACATAGACAGCACCATGCATTCCTGTGGCATTTCTGGCCGATGAAATGGCGGACAATTGATATTGCAAATTTGAGGCGTTGGTAGTATCTGACAGAAGGCCGTTTTCGTACCAGTCCATCTCATTTGGAGAATTCGGTTCAGATGATTCTGGTGAAGATGCCGCGAAATTATAAGCGCCTCCACTTAAATACTGATCCAAATCTAATTGCATTGTAGGAGGTTGATTGGGATTTAGCAACGCTTGAGCGCCGATGCGCATGAAGGGTAAGGTGATGACTTGGTACTCTTGATCATTCGTGAACTGGTGCAAGACGTAGTTCTGGGTCAGAATATCTTCGATGGAATGACCCATGATGCCGCGTTCGGTAACGGAGGCAAGATCGTTCGTATCATCGTGTTCGACTGAATATCGCCGAAAAAAAAAAAACAAATTTTTTTATTTCTAAATATAAGAGAATCAAGTAGAGAAAAGGTGTATAAAAATGGAAGGGCTTACCGGTCATGACCATGCTATCGTCAACCTGATCCATGTTGGAATCAGCCGTCGTTTGATCATTAATAGAAGTTGGGGAGACTAACGACATATCCGGATTTTCACTGCTATTACTCTCATTCTGGGTCAATTCCGCATAATATTGATTCTTCTTTGAGATTCCCCTCTTTACTTGCGAGATGGGGATCGCAACGGGCTTTTTGGAGCCCTTCCTCTTTGCTTTTTTCTCATTCATAATATCATTTTTGGATCGATAAATGGGAACAGTCAAATCTTTTAGCGTGGTAGCCTTCTCAGTTTCAAGCTTCTTGGTAGTAGCATTGGCCGCCTTTTTAAATTGAGTCTGAGTCTTTTGGTCATGAACCATGACATGATGCATAAACCAAAGACGCCATGACAAATTTTCCAAACGCGCACCATATTCCAAGGCATCCTTGACCTTTGTCATCAGGCGCCAGGTCTTTGACAAATCTTCATCAGTGTCGATGGTCGATAAAAGCGAAAACGCCTTGTTGCCTTTGATCTTGAGCTTCGTCGGTGCCATCTCGTTGAAATACCGGAGAAACCTGATGAGTAAAGTGAGATTGAATAAAAAAGTTGGGTCAACTCTCAGGAAGGAGAAAAAGAAAAGGGAAAGAAGGAAAATAAAGTAAAAGTAAGAAGGAAAATAGAAAAATCAGAATGAACGTCACTCCTAAGCTTCTTAGATGTATATATATGTATAGTAGAGACATATGTATACAAATATAGTATTGAGGTGTAGTATTGTATATAATATTTTTTAAATAAGTCACTTTTGAATTTGAAAAGAAAGCTGAAGGTCGTGAGGAAGTAGCCTTTTTTAATAATATGAAGGTCAGCAACGAAAGTTATTTAATATACCTGCAGGTCTTTCTTTTTCAAGAAAGTAGTTGCTTTACTGTTATTAGCTGTGGCGAGCTGGAGCTGAGCACGCAGGATTAACGGTGGAACGTTTTTTGCGAGATTCCCAAAGGTGGGACTCTAGAGTGATGCAAAATTTACGAAATGTAAAGATCCTATCTGGCCAAAGAACAGAAAAAAGACCAAACCGTTAAAAGAGGTGGATGAGTATATAAAAAAATCAGCAAATAAAAATAGTATATCAAAAAGCACAAAAAATGTGGCGAAGGAGTAATAAGGCAAGTGGATGGTTACAAGGGGAGTTGAGTTATAATCACGAGAATGAGTTGCTTTAATTGGGTGACGATTATGAATTTCAATTGTAGCTTCAAAACTCTCACCGAACTCGCTTACCAACGGGAGGCGCAGTAAACTCGGAATTTGAGAAAAGGGCAATAGGAAATGCATCAACTGCTTATCATATCATATACTACTATTATTATTTATTATTATTATTATTTATTATTACTATTATTATTATTATAATTATTATTATTATTATTATTATTATTATAAAATTAAAAAAACGCAATTTTAACATAAATAAATAGTATTAATAAATAATAGATCACCAGCAGACCTTTTGTTTATGCGTGATATAAATATCTTACAATTCGAGCAAAAGATCACGCCAAAGTCCGTGATGCTGAACACCCACAAGTGAGACAATACAACAACATGGCCGAAGCTACCTATAGTTTATTGCACGCATGTCGCACCTTTTTTTTTCTAAAACAATGTAACCGAGATTCCGTTGGCAACCAAAAGGAATACCTATTCTGCACACGCTGGGATGTGTCGATTGATCACGTTTTCAAATTTCCCTCCGATTAGTCCATAAAACGTTAGCGTTAGTTACGCTAGTTAGTTGGTACAGTACGTAATCACGTCCAAGCTTGTGGAGGAATTCGGGATGGAAATGAGTTAGCTCAAGTCTTCCATGATCATTCTTCTTTCTTTATGTCTGACAAGTTGATCAAATGGTCGACTTTCACATTCACACTCAAAAAAATGATCACTTATTATGGTTTTTCAATGTGTTTTTTCTCACACTTATATATAACCCTATAAAAAAAGGAAACCTGTCTGCATTCATTCTCAAACAACAATCGCAAGCGTTGTGTCTTTGCTTATTAATGGAAAACATCGCGTTTTAAAGTGACGGGTACTATTTATACGGTACATTCGTTCTCCGAATTTTTTGAAAGAGGATCGACAAGCACCATAATTGACCTCAAGGTTATTATTTGCACAATAAAAATGCAAACAATGTATCTTCCCAGATTGGTCTTATTTAAAATATGGGGTATTTTGCACTTTGTTTACACTTTCTTTTGCAATTGCAATTGCGACATTGAAAAGCTGCAGATATTACTCTTTTTCTTCTTTGTAGCTGCATTTTACCCATCTTTCTCCATACGATCACGTGACCTTACCTATTGTTTGTGTCATGAGCCGAAATTTCGTCGCCACAAACTTTTTTTTTTAAAGTGCCAAATATAATCATTCAGGGGAAAGGATTTGCGTGGTTTCATTGGCTGGGTGCATCGCATAAGTCTCAGCCCTTTAGGAATTCTCTTGTTCACCCCGCAAAGACGTTCGTTCCCACTACTCAAAGATGTCCACATCGTCAATCAAGTAACGTGTTCTATTGTACCTTTGAAATTCAGGATTGCACACACAATGTTCAACTTTTTTATTATTAACCATAAAATGTTCTTTGTCAGAATTTCTCCTTTGAAAAAAGAATTAGGTAATCAATATTTTTTTTACTAAAATCAAGAACACACCACTCATGCTAGAGGCTTATATATTTCCATACTAGGTATTTATTGCGCGTAACCGTTCATTATGCCTACACAAATATATTTTTTTCATTCATTCATATATACATAACAATTTACAGATGATGCAAGTCAATCTCTCAGGAAGGAGCTGATCGCTTTCACGAATGGTCAACTGTCCCAGGCGAATAAAGGGATCACACAAACAAGTGTTGGGTTGCTCAATGTTGAAAAGAATATTGAGGTAATATTTTTTTCCCAGATGTTTTGGAATTCGGCTGAACCGAAACGCTGATACAAATGCAATTCCACGTTTGGAAATCAGAGCGCAAGAGACAACATTAAGGAAACCGAAAGGAATTTAAAATCCATTGGGACTAAAGTATTCAAGCTTGATCCAAGTTTCATACCTGTTGTCAATATTCCAACCAAGGATAAATGGATTGAAGCAAAATATGTTGGGTAAAAAAAAAAGACTTCTTAAATACGTCGAACGAAATATCCCTTATGCATAATAGTTTGCAACATGTGAAACTGGGTAAATAAATAAATAACCACAACCACAAATAATCATACATTATTATACATGTGTATGCCTAATTGTTAATTATTTCCTGTTAACAATCGTCAATGGTAACATAATTCTTTCCTACCATATGTTGTTGTTGCCTAAAGTATACAAGTATACTGAAGAACGGCTATATATTAAATAATAAAGTATAATATAAAGAAATTAAAATTTATAATTAGGTTATTTATTGTTAATTATATTTTAATATTATTTAATTTTAAAATATTTTTAAATGATTAATTTTATTTTATAAAAATTATTATTTAATTTATTAATAAATAACGTTTATAAAGGTATTTTTCCATGATCACATGATCCCATGATAATATCGCTTATCGTTACCATCGTCTTCAACTCGCCAGATCTTATTTATTTTCCAAAAATGCAAGGTCCATCTCCAATTCCTGTTACAGTTTTCACTGGCTTTCTCGGCTCGGGAAAGACCACCATAATTCTTTCCCTCTTACCGCGGGTTCCTCAAGGTTATAAACTTTGCTTGTTGAAGAATGAGTTCGGAGACGTCAAGGGTATTCTTATACGTTTTTTAATATGTGAAAGGGAACTTGGAACCAACACCAAACTTTTCCTTTACAGTCGACAGTGAATTGGCTCAGGAAAGCAATCTCGCAGTACAGGAAATGCTCAATGGATGTCTTTGTTGTGTGCTGGTTGGTCAAATGAAATTGGCCTTGATGGAACTTAAAGGTGCGCTCAATATTTCCTCAAGCAAATTGATGTGGTGCTCTCGATTTATAGACCCTCTTTTCTTTTCTTTTTTTTTTTTTTTACCTTTAGAGAAATATAATCCCGACCGTGTGATTATTGAGACCAGGTGAGATTTTTTTCGAGGTGCAATCCATGATGCGTGAAAAATTTCAATTTACTCGTATGTACTGTATTTCTCAGTGGATCGGCTTTTCCAGGTGGGATTGGGATCACGACTTGTTTATTCAGGATAAATATGTTAACATTATGTGCATGCTCGTACATCCCATCGGTTAAGCACCCATTGCGTGGCAAATACGTGAAATGGCAGACGATGGATTTACCCTGGATAGCATAATCACCGTGATAGATTGTGTAAACTTTCGAGGATATGAGGATACAAGTTATACAGCCAAGATCCAAGCCCAGTATACGGATATCATCTTGTTAAACAAGCACGAACTGGTAACCAACAATCCGAATCCTTAGATCGTCACCTCTTAAGTTAATTCTAATGTTCAAACTTGAAATTTAAGGTTGGGGAGAGGGAACTTGATTTGGTAATAGATCACGTTAATGACTTAAACACTGATACACCTAAAATTAAGTGCGAAGGAAAACGAGGTGTATCACCAGATCTCATTTTCGGCATCGATACAAAATTATTTAGTCTGACACAAAATACAGAATTAATTGATCCCAGGATCACAGATCACCATCAAGCAGAAGTGGATTTAATTCAAGTCATAGTTTTAGTGCATGGAAATGTATCATACAAAGGAGGGGATGCAATAACGACGGATCTGACCGCATCGATGACAAAACGAAGATTCGAAACATTCTTAGAATCACTACCTAAAGATGATATCTATCGACTGAAAGGTATTGTTAAGCTGGCTGATCACAGCAACCTTAATCCTGAAAGCATTACTCATCTGGAAACCAATGACGTAAAGTGGAACGAACAGAATAATCATATGCAGAAGGAAGCAACCGAACAAATGTACATCGTTAATCATGCATTTGGGCGTTACACCCTTACACCAATTCAGAGAATGCATAATCTCCCTAGCATGAATATAAGAATCAAAATTACCATAATGGGTACCTGTTTGAAAACGCATCTTGGCATGATAAAAACCGGTCTCGCAGTTAGCGATGAGCATGTCGTTGTGCACTTTGCTCATCATTGATGAAAATTTCACGGAATTTGTTAACAATTTACCGGGATCAGGACCCGTAAAAAGAGAAGAAAAAAGGATACAAATCATGTGTTAATCCAGTTATTGAATTTCCCGTTTTTTGACGTTTTACGCCACTATGATAATGAGAAATATTGTATCAGAGATTTTCTTGAAAAAGAAAATGCACATACATTTTGAAAAGGAAAAGGATATAACATGCGAATAAAGGATACAATAATTTTAATGAAACAGGCACACACATATGTGCGAAACGGACTAAATTACTTTCGTGAATAGTATTCTCTGTTACTTTTGCTTCTCTCTCTATTCTTATCTCTCTCACTATGTCGATCATGACCTGCATATCTACTGTGACTCTGGTCCGGGTATTTTGTCCGAGAATGTGGACTACGGCTTCTTGTTCGCCGAGAATTAGACCTATTATCACCTCGCATGTATTTGTAATTGTCACGTTTATATCGTGAGGGGGACCGTGATCGAGATCCTGAATGCCCATATTTTCGTTCATGACGATAGCGATGATGACGTTCGGTGTGACCGTGAGTTCCGTTTTCACGTACTTGGAGGCGCGAAGGAAACGCTTCAATAGATTGGTCCCGATGATATGATTGATTTGAATGTTGGTAACGAACGGGGCGATCTTCTCCCAGGCCCTTATTAACATCATTACCATTATTAAACCTTGAACCGTTCCAACGGTCCTGTTGGTTGAAATGTGAATCTTTAGAAAGTTGAAAAACAGAACGATTATTTGCGACGCCAGAACGTTGTGTTAATCTTTCATCTTCTGCCAACATATTTCGACGCCAACAATCATCGAGACGTTGTTCGGGTAGAATTTCTGGCATGACCTGATTCCCAGTCACGTGCCTTAAAGTGTATGGTCAGTATGTCTCACAAATAAGCAATTATGTTTGCAGGCTTGTTTCGAACTTACAATGGTCGTTTGAAAGGTCGATCACGTGCTCCAAAACGAAGTTGACCTGATTCCTTTCTGCCTCCGAAACCGCCGCCCAATCTTCTAGGAACCCATCCCTCCATTACTCGACCGCGCTCATAGTCAGTCAGAACTTGGCGATCGTCGATTGTCATTTTATAAGAATTCTTTGTGCGATTTTGACTTGTCAACAGAAATGATATGGAGAAAGAAAAAATTGTGACAATAAAAAACTTACAACATATGCATCCTGACATGACCTCTCATGAGTAAATTCAATGAAAGCGTATCCACGTGAATCGCCCGTTACTACAAGAAATCAATAAAATCCTTGAGTTTTTTTTTTTTCAAGGACGTCAATTTTAGATATCGCCTGGGTACTAAATTCGTTTTACCAATGTTTCGTACAAGCTTCACGTTCTTGATTACGCCGAATTTTTTGAAAACGTTCTTCAAGGTTTCTAAAATCCGTTGATCTGTTAATGGCACGTTCCTTGGATATAAATGTGAATTAATTTATGCGTGCCTTCGGTAGTTACGGGATCCAATCGTCCAACAAACAACGTCTTTAAAGGATTCTCGGTTATGCTGTTGGTTTTCGAAGGTGGAATATCTACACGAGCAAAATAGACCAGGCATGCGTCAATTCATTTCGCTAGGAAGTAATGATGAGTGCAATTGCACTTACAAACTGCGTTTTGGGCTCTTGAAATTCCATGATCATGAGGAACCGTATCGGTACCGTCGATACTTCCCGCTAATAAAAATGGTTTTTTCGTTAAAACTTGTTTCCATAGATAATGGAAAGTTATATAATTCGAATTGAAATAATGCCTTGCAGGGGGTCGTATTTTCTTGAATACCACATATCTGTTAGACAAGGTCAAACAGAAAACAAATTTTTCGAGTTTTATTAGTTATGCGATTACGTAATCTTTGTGTCAAATTTCAGTCACATGTGCTTAATCGCAAAATGAAAGCTTTTCTTCCTTTTAAAAACAGAAAGATAAAAATTTGAAAGTGTTACCTTATACACGAGAAATACTCACTCAAAATGTATGCTGAAACTCGGCGTAAATTGATATTAGCCGTCGACAAAGCAGCTAACACGGCCATTCTTGCTATCGGACCCGTGTTCATTAGTCTTGCGGTTCTGCTGATTGGAATGGCCGTTGCAGTGTACTTTACAGTGGTATTTCCAACCGTTTACGTTTGGGACGATGACTATATCTGGACAAAATTTTTATATTATCTAGGTTTAATACTTAGCATATACCTTGTTTTCTGCATCTTTTTCCATTATTACATGGCTGTGAGAACAAAGCCGGGCGGAGTTCTGAATGCTGGAACTGGACAATCGGTGAGCGGTAGTTGTTCTTGTCACCACGAATACCCCTTTATAGTCGATTTATTAATTAATCGATAACTAAAGTTTCCTCGATTTAAACAACCAAATAGGAATCTGATGATCCGACTTTACAAGGTCTATTCTTAGAATTAGAGGAATATCAGGAATTTCCGAAAACATGCAAAAAATGTAATCACAAACATATTGTATTTATTTCTTTGAAAGCAAAATGTCTTGCGTTACTCGAAAGTATGCTTAACATCATGTTGATCTAATTAGGTCACCTCCCAAAGCCAGAAAGGGCACACCATTGTTCAGTGTGTAAAAAGTGTGTACTGCGGTTCGATCATCACTGTCCGTGGATAGCGAATTGTGTGGGATATTTTAATCATCGATATTTCTTGTTATTCATGACATATCTGGTGATTGGTTGTTTCTATTTTGCCCTGGTCGGATGGAGGCAATTCTTGGTCTGCTTGGACATTGATTCGCCGGTAAATTTGAAAATATCGACGCAACACGTGAGTGAAATTAACGGGGGCTGACAGTCATCTAATTCTATTTATCAATCTAGTGGGAGTGGTGGATGCCGCGTCCATATATGGCGTTATCATTCTTGCTTGCAGTTGCAATCGGGCTGGCTCTCGGTACGCGTTATTATAACTTGCGCGATCTTTGTTATTCAAATATCACAATAACATAACTTTTAATGTGTCTATTATTACAGGTGGGATGTGCACATGGCATTATTACTTAGTAAGTGAAGCAAACCAATGTTTTTGTTTCTCTAACAAAATTAAAATAATAAATTAAACATCGTTTCTTTTTTTTTTTTATACATAGGTTATGACTGCACAAACAACAGTGGAATTCTATAACAACTCATATGCAAAACGTACCGCAAAAACGAGGGGAGAGGTATATAAGAATCCGTATGATCTTGGGCCCATAACAAATTTGTGCCAATTTTTTAACGTTGGACAGAACTAGTAAGTTACTTAGCATCATGATAGTTTTTATTCTGATTTTTTTAATATATCTATCTATGTCTAATTTATTTAATTTTACTTAGCAAATAGTGAGTACTAAAGAATTTAATTATTGAGTGATCTTTATTCAAATGTGCTATTGATTACTAACCTCAAATCAATTATATTTTCATGAGTCCTATATATACCATATTCCTTCCGATACCTCTTTTGCCACCTGGTAATGGCAAGAATTGGGAAAAAAATGCTGAAGCCTATAATACGGTTCATGATGAGGCGTTGGATGATACAGACTGAGTAAATAACATTGGACAAAAAATGAAAACGATATGCAGTTTTAGAGATAAAATAGATATGGGTGAGATATTTTAAATGCATTTATCAACAGTTATTTTAACAGCAAGTAAATTGTATATATTGCAATAAACAACTATACAAGCCTTTATTAATTTAACCAAGTTCAAGATGTTTGAAACCTTTTAATTTATAATGTAACCTTTTTATAAATAAATTTATAACAATACAGACCATAATGCTTAAATCATGATATGTACTGCAAATCGATTGTTATACGCACTAATATTTTCTTTTACTTTTTTACAGACCTCGCGATAATCATGTCTAAAATACTTAACGAAGATTTACGAAATGCGACATTATCGACGATTACTTGAAGCTACTATATATACCTTTTTATCTTAAATGTGAAAGTAAGAATAATCGAGACCTTTGGTCAAGTCACTATTTTGCTATACACAATTATCATTTGATTTAAAATTTAAAATTTATTTTTAACAAATTTGATATAATCACTTTTTCTCAAGTTCAAATAAAAGTTTTCTAAAAAGTAATTATGCAGTACTTAATCAATATAATATTAATAACCACATCTATTGTTTTGCTATTTATTTTTATATTACTTCACTGTCGATGATTTATAAAGTATAAACGAGTCCCGTTTTGGTGTGTTTGAGCAGGATAATGTCAACAACAAGGTATCATAAAGCACGAGAGATCAAAAACACAAGAAATTTTTTCAAAAAATTCATTCTATAAGAGTTAATTTAGAAAAACAAAAAGAGAATCTTGACAGGTAATGTGAGTACCTTAGGCGAAATATTCTGATTATATCTCAATTGAAAACACAAATGCTTTATATCTATTTTGGAATAATAACATTAAAAAGATATTAAGAAAGTTATAGTTATTAGAAAGAATTGGTTTTGCAAATTTGTATATAAACTTGTTAAATAAAAAATCACAATAATTGATTTGAATATTATCAATTCTTATTATCTTTATAAAAAGGCATAATAAATTTTTAATCAAATAAAAATTGAAAATGATAAAAAAAATTAAAAATACAAAAGATTAAGATTTATTCAATGTTTAAAAAAATATATAAATAAAAATTGTACAATAAAATATTTAAATTAATATCAAAAAACAGAAATATTTATAAAAGTATTATATACAATATAATCAAATTAAATATTTTATCAAGATTTAATCTTTATTGTAATTCTTGATATTTTTATATAAATCTTATTATCATTTAATAACAAATTTAATTTATTAATTTGTTTACTTATAATATACTGTATATAACATATGTATATTATTATTTTTCTTTTATATATATATATCTTTATTTATTTTTAAAAAAGAAAAATAATATATAGATTTTAACTTTTTATAAAGACTTGAAATTTTAATTTTATTTAGTAAATAAATAATATATTGCTTTTATAAATTATATTCAAAAATTTTATATCAATAATAAATAAATTAATTAAATTAAAAAAATATATACTGTATATATATAAAAAAACTTTCTCTTGATTACATCCATTTTGTTAAAAATTTTCTTTATAATAATTTTAAGCAAGAAAAATATTTTACACTTTTT